TGTCCGTCAGCAGGTTCACAGTGTACAGAGACAGGGGCGTCCACAGGCCTCGGGTGTAGTCTGTCCGTCAGCAGGTTCATGGTGTACAGAGACAGAGGCGTCCACAGGCCTCAGGTCTCGTCTGTCCGTCAGCAGGTTCACAGTGTACAGAGACAGAGGTGTCCACAAGCCTCAGGTGTAGTCTGTCTGTCAGCAGGTTCACGGTGTACAGAGACAGGGGCATCCACAGGCCTCAGGTCTAGTCTGTCCGTCAGCAGGTTCATGGTGTACAGAGACAGGGGCGTCCACAGGCCTCAGGTCTCATCTGTCCATCAGTGGGTTCACAGTGTACAGAGACAGGGGCATCCACAGGCCTCGGGTGTAGCCTGTCCCTCAGCAGGTTCACGGTGTACAGAGACAGGGGCGTCCACAGGCCTCGGGTCTAGTCTGTCCGTCAGCAGGTTCACAGTGTACAGAGAGCATTTCACTTTCTTTCCCCTAAACTCTATGGGCATGAGTGAGCCGGTGTCATCTCTGGTCCCCATCAGCCTCTCCCTGGTCTCCGAGAGGCACCAGATGCCACTTACACGCCCGCAGTCAAGCAGCCAAACCTCAGCCAAGAACAAGTCAGGCTTTTCTACCCAAACACATCCCAGGATGCAGCGGCAGAAAACCATCCGGAGCGCATCGGAAGCCCGGCGTGTTTGGGGAAAGGCAGAGCTCATTTTTAACCACTTTGGTTATTAAACCTTAAATCAGCCTTAATGAGTCTGGGAGAAGAGTTTCAAGGTCTGTGTGTCACGGCTCAGGGATGAGTCCAGGGCCCTGTTTCCAAACATATTGTGGTTGGCAGCCTGTTGCTAAACAACCAAAATAGCCGTGCATCTGTTGTTATTTGCTGACCAGAGTGCTCCCCACAAGCGCGCAGCCCAGGTTCCTTCAGCACACGAAGCTCTGATGGGCTAGAGGGGTGACTCGCACCAAGAGTGATGTGAAAAGGTCAATGGAGGACCAACAACAGATTCTGGGAGGGCAAAGCTAGAAAGTTCTTTTTCTTAAATGTGTTCTTTTCCATTCAGAAAAGGGAACAGACCTGATTAAAGGCACTTCCTATATTCCAAGGAGGGTTTTGTGCCCAAAATTGCGAATGTTTGAATATTCATTTAGAGGACAGGGAGTGAGCATTTTCTTTGGTTATAAACTTCAAAGGTACTAAGTCAGCACAGTGTGTGTCCAGCGAGCAGCTGGGCAGGCCGACTTGTGCAGGGATCTGACACAGTCGGAAGCCAGCGATGGCTCCTGAGTGTCACACGGGCCTGTGTGGTCACCTCTTGCCCTCGCTTGTCCTCACTCACTCGCCCATTGCCCTCCAGTCAGAGCCGACTCAGCTGACCCCTCAGTGGGTTTGCAGATGCCAGAAATCACGAGAGGAGATCGCCCGTCTTTCTGCTTTGGCATTGGCAGCGCCTTACCTCTAGGCCATCGGAGCTCCCTCCTATGACCGCAGCCCACAGAAGAAAAAATCCAGACTATGGGATGAACCAGTCAGAAGAGACAGGGACCATGCCATTGGGCTGTTTGGGCACTGTAACTCTCCAAACTTGTTGATCAGTGTGCATGGCGTCAGCAGCGACTCATAGCAACCCTCGGACCAGTGGGTCTGAACCTCGCCCTGTCCTGTGCCATCCTCAGCATCTGTGACATAGTTGAGCTTGTTGTTACAGTCACTGTGTCCATCACAGTCACGAGTCTTCCTCTCTTCTGCTGACCGTCCACCCTTCCAAGCGTGATGTCTTTGTCCAAAGACTGGACTCTCCTAACAACATGCCCAAAATATGTGAGATGACTTTTCATCACCTTTATCTTCTAAGAACACTCTGGTTGTTACTTTCTCCAAGACATGCCTATTTGTTCTTTTAGTGGTTCGTGGCATATTCTTCTCCAGCACCACAATTCCATAGATGCTTCCTCTGCCTTCCTCATTCATTGTCCAACTTTCAGATGCCTAACAAGTGATTGAAAAGGCCATGGCTTGAATTAGGTGCACCTTAGTCTCTAGACTGACATCATTGCTCCTTAACACTTTGGACAGACCTTTGACTGGTTTTCCTAAGGCAACACGTCTTCTAATTTCTTGACTGCTGGAACCACGAGTGTTGATTGCGAATCTATTAAGTTGAAATAGTTGACAACTTCAGTCTTTTCTCCATCTATCCCAGTGGTGCTGATTGGCCCAGTAATGAGGACTTTTGTCTTCTTGATGTTGAGGTGTAGGGGCTGAGAAATCGAAAAACAACCAAATCAGAAAGCGAGCCATTTCTAAATTAGTTTCTCTTCCGCGCCTTGTGAATAATTAACATCCTCATTCCAACCAACACTGCTTCCTTCTAAAATTAAATCTGACTTTGTCGTTCTCTCCCTGGGAAGGAAACCCAATCCCTGGGCACGGCTGCCTGGGGTCCTCGGCTCTGCACCTGTAGGTGGGCGAGCACCTACTTGTTCCCCCTCCAGGGTGCAGCTCAGACAGGACTTCCTCCCTGGCTGTTTGTGGGCACCGGGCTCCCCCACCCTCTGCACAAGGGCCTGTGCAGAACTGGGCTGCTCTCCTGCTAACCCCTGAACTCCATCTTCTTGATCTCCAGGCCTCTCTAGCACCACCCAGTGCCCGCCCGCAGCACGTGCTTACTGAACAGTTAGCATGACAGCTAGTGGCTTGGTTCTTTTCTTCCAGGGGAGAGCACTGCTGGAGAAAATGGATTTGTTGCCATTAAGCTACCAGATGTGAATCAGAGTTCTTTTCTTTTT